TCGTACACACAACACGATGAAAGTTAATTTATAGGCGGGGCTCAGATAGGAAATTAAATGTAGCAAGAGTTTGTTATCTTAAAACTTGTTCTTCGAAATAATTTAATTTTCATGAAATTCATTTTATGTTCTTAATAAAAACAAAAAATAATTTTTTATTCTAGATTAACATTATATTACAGTTTATCTAAGTTCTATTAATGTGAGAGGTGTAGTCAATAAAAAAAAAACACAAAGCAAACAAATCACAGCAAGAGGTATCCAATATCTCTTGCATGATGCATGAAAGTTAAGAGGAATTGCCTAGCTTAAAAATGGCCGAATGCACTGTCGTACCTTAGAGGACTTTACTTTTGTTTTATATAGTCCTGATCCTCAGTGAGCCAGGTTAAGTTTTGTAAAGAAAATATAAATTAACTGTTAACATATTCCTATTTTTTGTAAGAATTTTTCTGTTTTTCTCTTGTTTGAAAAAAAGGATGGAAATTTGGGACCTGCCTTGTACAGAACAAGGTTCAAAGTTGCAGGGCTGATTATATTGATGCACATACTCAAATCATAAAAAGGCTGTGGAATTCATCAATATGGAGCAACAAAAGACATCTTGGAATAGTACAACACCATTTAGATTTATATTTAATTGAATTTATATGGAATCAAGTTCATAAAGAAAGTGACAGTTTTTGTTCTCATTTTATATCTGAGTAGGGAACACTTGATCACGTAATCCTTTTTCAAATGTCAACACAGCAGGATCATCCCAGTTAGAAGAACTACTAGAACTGATGACAAATAAAGAATTAAAAATTGAATTCTAGAATGGCTACCAAGAATTTTGGCTGCGGAAGCTGATTTTGCAACTGTACCCAGGATTATGGTCGATCATTCAACGATTTCTGATACCATCCCCATCTTCCTATTTAGCTGAATGTGGATTTAGTGCTATAGCAACGGCGGTAACTAAAAAGAGAAATCAGCTCCATGTTACTGAATGCGGTATCTTACAGTTGTTTTTAAGTAAAATAGAGCCTGATATTAACAAACTCCTTAAAATGCATCGAATTCACCTTCTCATTAGATAAGTAATAATTTCAATGTCTTTTGAACGTTAATAAAAATACTTTTTAATATAATTAAGTGTGAATTTTAATTGTTCTCACTGAAACAGCCTTTAAACTCAGAATAAGGATAGGGTCATATCCTGTCTTACCTTTGTAGTATATAATATTACATGTTTAAATATATAATACTGGCAATAGGTGTTTCAGATTCAGGGGGCTTTGAAAAAGAAAATTTTCTCAAAAGCAAAATAAGGTTTAGATTTGGCAAATAAGGTTGAGAACCTATGCTCTATACAGATGATATACTATCCCGATTCTTCTTGGGCTAATGGAGTGGAATTGTTCTGTCTTTTAACATGATGGACATGATTGCTTCCACTTTGTGATTCTAGATAACCCAAGGTCAGAGAACTTTTTTTCTGTCGTCAGATTATAATTCTTTGATAATTCAATGGGTTACTCAGTGGGTATGGGAATTACATAGTTTTCTCTCTGATGCAAATACAGATCGGTTTCTTTCAGAAAATATTCTCATATCCTTCTCTAAATAGATATTCTTTTGAGCAGTAGCTGTACAAAACAATCTAACCTTGTTGCATGTGAAGTAACCAGAAGAAATTAGAGCATATTTGAATATTTTTATTATTTATACAAATACAAAGTATATTATTATTAATTTTTATGCATTAATTATAGATTTGTATCTTATAATTTGTATTAAGTGCATGTTACATTATTCAAATACAAGTTTCAGATGCATTATATTTAATAAAATATCTATGATAAATATTATAATATTAAGGGTAAAAGATATGTGTTACTAATGTTCTTTATTTGTTAGGTAATAATAATATTTAAAGAAATGGTATTTATATAAAATAATGTTCTAAAATTTTGTATTTATATGAAGTGGGTATATGAACTTTTAGAACTTAGCAGTTTATTTTTGAAATTTTATATATTAATTTTTATTTTATATTTTAGGTTTTTGAAAAGCTATCAAGAGAACAATATCACCTTTTGGGGCATAACCATGCAAAATGAACCAACGGATGGATGTCTTGCAGATTTTGCTTTCCAATCAATGTGCTTTCCACCAGAGAAGCAAAGGGATTTCTTGAAACTGAATCTTGGACCAACACTCCAGAAGTCTGGATATGGTACAGACAAACTTAGGTTAATGATCTTGGATGATAATAGATTTCTCTTACCAAGATGGGCTGAAGTGGTAAGAAATATGCATATTTTTCTTTATGACAGACATCATGAAAGAAAATTACTAGGCATAAATTCCATGACATGAGTAAAAAAAAAAAAGGAGGTTGGAAATGTATTGAAGAAAGAAAAAGAAAAACTTTATATTACTTTAATAAAAATTTGTATTAAAAATATACCAAAATTAGGTACTCTCGTTAGTGCGACTGGATTCAGAAATGTAGTGTATATGTACACTGCTCAAAAAAAAAAAATGGGACAGTCCTATATCTCCCGATCTACTGGGCCATTGACAAATTCAAATTGCGTTCTCATGTCTCGAAGCGCGACTTAGGATATTATTAGATTTATATAGCACTACTAACATGTTTTGACACAAATGACTTTTTCAAGTAACATACCAATTATTTTACCATATTTCGACTCTACGACTCAAATTACGCCTAATATGAAATTTTGTAAAATTTGGAGCGAAATTCGGAGAATTCACAAATTATGTTGGCACTTTTTTGTCGTTTGCGCAGAATACTTCACTTGTCGAACTTCTGAATATATTGCACCTAGTTTCTTTAGGAAAAAAAGTCCACCATCGTTCCTTTTTTTCCAAATAATATTCTTTATATTATATTTTTAATTATAACTTATTATTTTAGTAATTTTTTCTTTTTCGAATTCATTTAATTGTTTAGTGCACTTTTTTTTTTTTTTTTTTTTTTCGAATACTGTTTTAAAATTTCTATTTCCTATTCGAACTGCGTAAATAAAGTGCAGCGTTTATTTTTTTTTTTTTTTCAAATAGTTTCTTTATAATATTTTTCGTCATAGCTATATTTAGGTCTTTTTTAATTTTATACTTTTATTTTAATTGTTTGTGTTGCATTGTCTCTTCAGATAATTGTTTTTAAAATTTTCTATTTATTCCTTCGAACTGAGCATTTTAAATATTTTAGTAATATCAATTTTCCAGAATTTGATTTTATTATTTGAACTGCATTTTTTTCGGAAGAATACTTTGTAACCCAGACTACGATGTTTGAAACTGCATACTATATTAAAAAGAAATACAGTAAAGCCAGTTTACAACCTTCAATGTTCCTTCAGAAAATATATATAAATAAGAGAGAGTTAACCGATATTTTAACTTAGGATGACTTGCATACACTGCTTTAAACAGTTTTATCATTGTGCCCATTGCTTTACACAATTTTAATCTACATTTGGTTTCTTAAAATGTTATTCATATTTAGTCAAATATTTTATTTTTGAAATCGCAAGAATCAAATATCAGATTGAAAAGTTTTAATTTAAAAAAATACGAATACTAATTTTCGAAAAAATTATTTTTCTTCTCTGTTTCTTTAAGCATTCTGAAAGTATCTTGAAAAGTTCCAACTTTTCGAAACATTTTGTATTTCTGACAATCATTTAATAAGTTATCGCCTTCCATTTCATAAAGGCCCACAAACGGCAGAGCGGTAAAGTTTCTGAACTGGTAGTTCACTCGGGGTTCGAACACCGGTACGGCTGTGCATGGACGTTTCCGTGGATTTTCTCATGTGTACCGCATATGACGCTGGTTTCTTTAGAAGTTCTTCACAATATTTCGTCGACTTTATCACTCTTAGAGGCTAACATTTGAAGCTTAGATGAAGGAAAGACTGTTTCTCAAACGGTTTTGGTTATTTTCTTATGACAAGCACACTCGGCTATCTGCCTAAGGGAGGATGCCTCCTGGAGAGTTCTAAGTAACTGTCTCACATACACTTACCTGGGAAAACCACGAAAACCCATGCCAGCCCGTTCGAGGGATTCGAACCTCGGACCGACTACCAGTGTTCACACTTTACCGCTCGGCCCGCTGTTTCATCAGGAAGGAAAAAATCATCTTAAGGACATCCACAACATCAGCTAAACTCCTAATTTCAAAATTCGACTAGGAAATCAGGATTCACCATTTTGATAGATTGATGTTCTATACGAATTTACACACCTATGTTAAACCAGTCGACTTCATTATCTGCAATGATATCGTTTTGTCTTTCTGTTAACACAAGCTCAATTGATGTATTGCTGGTGTCGTCCAAGGTTTTCTTTGAACACCCAAGTCTTGAAGTATCCTGAAGTATATTCGAAAGCGTCCACTTTTTTAACATCTTGGTAGTCTGACAGCCAAATTCCCTGCAATTTGCTACTTTTCTCCAATTTTCTTCTTCCTTCTACAGTTATTTTCATGCCAACAAGAAATTAGATTTTCGCTGCTAGACTTCCTACATTGCATTTGTCATTTTTAAAAATCATTATATGAATTGCGTTTCAGCTAAAACAGCTTTATTTTCTAGCATTTTATTATAAATAAAGTTTAAAGCGAAGTCCAAAGGATAAATATTTTAATAAAATTTTTGAAATGACAAGAAATAAAACAGTCAGCAGGTTATTTGTACCAGAGTACCCGATTCTATATCGGCGAAACATCTAAATCAATAAGATCATGTTTTTTATACAATCTATAACGCGAGAGAAAATTAGCTCTTAAACATGCTTCTAGAAATAATATAAATTTATATTTATATATATTTTTTAAAGTTGGACTTGAACCACACTGTCAGACTTTAAAGCTTCTTTTACATGGTGTTTATTAAGTTCCACTTTGAAATGTATAAAAGGAAACTACGGACCAAATTTATCAAACTGGAATCGTGTAAGGAGTTATAGAATTATTTCGGCGAAAAAGAGTTAAAAACTCACATCAGGGAAAAGCGCTGTATACAATTTTAAATGAATAGACACGAAAAACTGTAAAATGTGTTTAATATTTTCGAACTGTACAAGCATGTCAATGTAGGTCCAGCATTCGAAAGCAAGTTAATATGTACTGCATTTCAACAGCATGTTGCATATAGTTTGGTTTGGTTTGTTTATTAGATTCGGAAAGCACTCGAGGGCTACGCCTTAAGGGAGGGATGCCTTGTGGGGATTTTAAGGGAAAGGCCTGTACACGTTACCATAGCATAGCAGGAGGATTTATCAGTGTATCACATTTTTCATTTCTGCCAATTGTTTAGCATATCCCATAAAAGTGCTTTGATAACCTCAAGACAAAGTCACAGAGGTTGAGGTCTGGTGGGAAGAGGGGAAGTGTTAGCTATAGACGTTCATTCGTGAAATGTTGCCATGTACTATGCACACTCTTGAGGTGGTTCCCAGCCTGCATAAAAATCGTAGTATCTAAAATGCCACGTACTGCAGTTCATGTATCACGAAACATTTTAATATTGGCTCTAAGTGAGCTGCAATCGCCGTGGTCCAGCTTTCGACTGCTCTTAAAAAAAATGTTATTTATAAAACTAGCTGTCATTCAACAGTAAACGGTGGAAATACGTTATGCAATCGAATGCAGTAGGAAATGCAATGGAACTAGATAAATACATGAGGATTTCTTTGGCCAAATCGATTAAAACGTTTTGAAATCAGTATCTTCATGTTTTAGTGCCGAATTCAGCTAAAAATTACAAATTAGCGATCTGTAGACGATTCCAGATTGTACCACTGTGCGAGTGATTGCGATCTCACTTTCTAATCGCTAATTCGTGTTTTCACGGACGAAATTTCACTTACGGGATGGCGCACTCGACATTTATCGAATTTAACGTCTTTAAATGGCAATTTGCCTACTTCAAAGTTTCTAAGGGTATACATATTAAACCCGTTTAACAAAAGGTTAAGTTAGATTCCGACCATATTTCGTTTAACATATTGCATACAGCGCCATTTCGCCCCTGTGGTGAGGTTTCCAACTTCCTTTTTTCCGGAAAATAATTCCCATGAACTCCTTACACTTTCCAAGTTTGATACATTTGATCCAGTTTTTCTTTTGACCGTTTTCAATATTATAACCACTTGTATTTATTAAATTTAATTTAAGCTATGCGTTATGTATACCATGCGTAAAATTTCGCTTTATGGAAAAAAAAACGAAGCAAATATACTTTATAATGGACCGAACTGAAACATTCCCCTCCCAAATAAAATTGAAATTTCGAACTTGAATTTACGGTTATCGAAATATTTAATTTGACTATCTTCTAATCCTAGTTCCGACACAATTCCGTCAAAATTCGAATTACTTAAGCTAAAAGAATTAGTATATATTACTGTATTTAATAAGTAATCAGGTGTAATAAAAATAGATTATAGAATTTACGCGATGTACTTTTGTCTGACTGCACAACATGTTAATGGAAAAAAGTTGTAAGATCTGTTTGACATGCCTCTAAAAGATGTCATATAATTTGTCTCTTCATGTCAAAAAATTTCCTTTGAGAGGCAACTTTAGTTTTTGAGAAAGAAAAAAATCACAAGAAGACAAATTTGAAGAACATGCAGGACAATTGAATTACATACTATTTTCCGGACACAAGCGGTTCCCACTGGTTTGAAAAGAAAAGAGCATGTTATGCAATAAAAAACATTTGGAATACGTTCTGGTGAATAACGTAAGATTAAATCATCTGCTATTCACAATTTACAAGTCAACTACTCGGGCAATTGCAGAATCGTTGATCCTGAGCTTGTAGACAAACCTAATATCATGGATTTAACACTTCTTTAATCTTCCGAGAATGTTTCTTTCTTTAGCTCATATTCCAGAATATTAAGTGAATACAATTATTGCCAAAAATTGAATATTCATTTGCACTACGGCTGGTATTACTAACGAGTCAACAAACTTAAAATTCTGCTTTTTGTGTCAAAGAATACACAATATTTTAAATATTTACAAATAAAATATTAAATGGAGATTTTTGGAGCTCATCATTGCCTAGCATTTGAAAAGATTGTTAAATATTAATTGTTTTGCTACTCAGTCTAACCCAGCTGCATGGTTGGTTTTCATAGTTTTCTAGGTTCTCTTTACAAAGGTTCTCTACAAAAGCATCTTAACTAAATACCTCTCATGTTCCTTTCTATGTTCGAATAACCAACTATCCTAGTTTAAGTGCGATTTCCAATTGA